GTTTTATTATCCAGCATACAATGCTCGATATGGACGGTTATTTTTTTTTTTTTTTTAAAGTCTTGTTACTTTTTTCCCACGCGTACTTGTCACTCATAAAATGTTTGATCAAAGCTGTAAAAAAAGTAGCGATTTCAATATTCAATCGTAATATACGGTTGAGGTCATCAGGTTTATATAAAGATAAAACAGTTAAATATAAAATGCCAACCGTAAAAAGACGACGTTCTATATACGGTACTTTATTTGCCTAATTTGTATTCAAGATCGAAATCTTGTTCCATCGTGCATTATCAATAAAGCACTTTAATCGAAGACCCACGATGACCTAGACTTCCTGTCAAACGCTAGTTCATTTTACATTACGATCAATATACCTGTAGTAAACTGACGGTCTTTGACGAATGCGCGCGTGATTTCTACTTGATAAATCTGCAACAGTTACCGACTCTAAATAATCTAATTAAATTATTAATAATATTAATTTTTTGGGAAATAAATTTTTCAAGAATCTTATTAGAGAATTTTTCCCTATATATAAATATTAGTAATTAATTATCTATCGTTTATAAATACGTAAATTTAAAAAATATTAACTGATTGATTTCGATTATAGATGCGTTATGAAAATAAGATTTTAATTAAAAATCGATTGCAAGAGTATTTTAAATCTAACGTTGGAAATGTTTAAAGAGAGATAGAACCACACTAAAGTATATGAAATTATCCGTAAATAAATTTGAAATATGCATGTTTAACAAAATCAATTTCTTAGAAGCAGCAGTTATGACACAATATTTACTATGCAATCGAAAATTTCATAGTTATGCAAGTTTAAAAAAAATAATATATTTGTGATTCAGATATACATATATATAATGTGAATTTATAGTACTTGCCAATTTCATTCGCTTTTCAGCACAAAATTCTAAATATTTTTGCATCATCTGCGAAGATAAATAAATATGATAAATAATAAAATAATTATAAATTTGATGCTTATGATGAACTTATGATAGATTTGCGGATATATGAACTTTTGAAATACTTGAAACAAGTAATATTTACTTATATATAGTATGTATTTTTCTGTGTGTATACATGCAAGCAAAGATTGCTTGTGTTTCGTATTTGTGCATAATTAAATTACTTATCGTACGAGTATTGATTAAATATTGGCAATGGAGGATTTTTAGAATTTATATCGACCGTGTAGTACATTTTCATTTAAACGTCACGCCTGATTTTTGAGGCGCTATTAGTTAACCGTTTATAAATTTTCCAGCGGAAAAGTGAATGGCAGCTGCAAAGCATCGAGGAAAATTCGTCGGTGATTCTTTCTCTTTTTTTTTTTTCTCCCGACACGCTGTGCATTTTAACGGTGGGAAGTGCAATACAAACGCGCGCCGTAATAATAAACCACTCGGAACATTCAGTTTGATATCATTGCTCGTGTAAACGTAACGCGCGCGCCATTAGGGTCCTTTATCTCCGACAAGTAAATTTCCCGGGACATTTATTGTCAGTGCTTATGGTTAACGCACTCGCTGTATGGGCAGTACAAAGGTATCTTTTAAGCTAATACTAATTAAGCGTCGTCGCGCTCATCTTTATTAGGGCTCGGCTATAGATACCCTACTTACGTTGTGCCCCGACACGTGCACGTTCCAACATATAATTTTGCGGCTTTATCCTTCTCGCTGCATTTAATCAACCGGTCTTACCATCGAATTTCAGGAATTACGACAAAAATATGATACGATTTTCTACAATGGCGATCCACAGAGAAATTTGATTATATTCTAAAAATATTCGTCGATTATATTTTAAAGATGTAACATTTATTAGACTTAAAAACGTACTAATTTACGCAGCCACTTAGTTTTATTACGAGCGCATCTCTGCTGTCGACAGACACGACTGACTTCCGGAACGATTCATATTTATCGCTTGTTTATCTTTCAATGTTGATTTTCCGCATCACTCATCGTTCCCATTACGAGGAACATTTTCGTGAGGGTCGCCCTGTATCTTTAATGACCTTAGCGCCCCTTATATTTCCACGAATTCGAGCTGCACTCATAATAATTTATGTGCCAAGCGAAACGTATTCGATAAGTACATTGCGCAATGTAATCACGGAAATTAAATATCGCGAAAAATAATGCTCTTTTAGGACAGCTATTATTTATTTGGAGAAAATTAAAAAATAATAGCATTTACATTCACTTTGTATTTTATAAATGTTCTCGTAAATGGAGCGTCTCTTTAATATATATTAGTCTTGACACAGTGAGAACAATCAATTATATGTATATACATATATTTTTTTTTTTAACACGAGGTATTTATACAGCTTTTGTAAAGTATTTTTCACATGATCGGTTCTCTTTGAATTGTTTGACGTATCGTGGATAATCTACAGACTTTACCGCGTGTGCATAACGAGAGAACTTTTAGTTGCTACGTCAGCGTATTGTGTCGTAATATTATCGGTGATATCAATAATTATAGAAAATTTCAAACTTTTGCCATGAGGTAACTCCGTGGTAACACGAGACACGCGTTACGACACGACGCTGCACGATAAGATCCTCTTTTTAGCGGCCGTCGTACAATGTATCCCTCTTCGTCCTGTCGGGATTTCGAAGTGACCGAGTCGTGCACGCTCTCTCTCTCTCTTTCTCTCTCTCGCTCTCGATGCTTGATGGCCCGTTGTGGTGCAATCAACCCGAATAAGGTAGAAAGAGAAAGAGAGAGAACGAATGCGATGTGGGAGGAAGGACGAGGGTCATAGAATGGGCGCTTAATACGGAATAACTCGTGTGATTCCGTGGCGTGATGCGACGATGACTGTCGAAAATATCGACGTGGCGGAGAGATCTCCCGGCGGTGTAATTGCCACAGAAATTGACACAGGATCGGCCGCGCGCGGACGGGCTCGTTTATACTTTTTAATCAAAGCAGAGGCTGTTGTGCATTCGCGACAAGACGATTATTATTTATTTTTTGCTCGTTATCGTCCATCGATGTTATTTAGCGTTGCGTGTACCTTTAACGAGCACGATGACTTTCTCTCTTTCTCTCTTTCTCTCCTTCTCTCTCTCTCTCTCTCTCTCGCCGTTATAAATCATCGAATATTATCTATGCGAACAGTTTGTAGCCGGCTGGGCGCCAAAAAGTATCGCAAGAACGTAATAGACTTTCGGAACAAGAAGCCGATTTGCCGGCGATTGTCGCGTTACCGGCGCGTAATTAATCCCGAGACGGCGACCGCATTCTGCGAGACTAGTTTGCTATCAATTCTGACGCGGGTGAGTTCATTAATTTACATCGAACAATTCCATGTCGACAATTCAATGAATAGGCAGGAGATTTGAATAATCTCTAAAAAGTGATCCGCACGCGCGCCTTTTTATTCGATTCGTATACAATATTTCAAATACGTTGTGTGTGTCTTATCTTTCTCTTCGCTTTATCAATCTATATAACGTCCCCCTTGGGAGTAATTTTCATCCTTATTAAAATACTTTGCGATTCAATCGGGAATCAAGATGTTCCTTTTGGCGATTCAAAAGGAACGCAGCTGCTATCTGAGAAATTACTTATCGCGTTCAGTGAATTTATTTTGGAATTACACTAACTGTCAGGAAAGACGTTCCGTACGTTAATCCAGCGAAGCGATTTGCTCGTTTTATCTCGGCCGGCGTTCCTCGTTCTCGATCCCGGAGCGAAGGAAAACTACTCACTTAAGATAAAGTATCTGCCTCGTACACAACCGAATCGAACCCGAGACGGGCTCCTATCGCGACCGAGTGCTTGTCGTCGTGAGCGAGCACGTCATCGTTCTAATTAATTCCAACGCCCCACGTTCGATTGATCAAGATATAGCGAACGGTGCAATTAGCGGCTCTTCCATCGAGGGCTGATTGATGCACCGGCGCCTCCGCTTGTTCCATCGACGTGACGCAAAAAGGCGAAAAACCGATAAGGCGCGTACTGACTTGTGCATTTTTGCACCGTCCCGGAACGGTCCTTCGATCGTTCTTATGGTAACCGGTGTCAGCCGTGTGGTAGAAGAGCAACCAAGTGCCATATACATATCGAAAAATGCACAATAGCTTTTGCGTGAAAAAAAGAAGATCGAAATAAAGACCAGTGAAAGATTTACACAATCACATTGCAGTATAAAATATATAAAAATATATAATATATATTTAAAAAAATATATATAAAATAAATAAAACTATACATGTAAAAATATATATGTGTAATATAGTCGAGATAATTCACTTGAAAAGCAGCGGAAAAAGATTCTGAAAAGGTTGCAGAAAAAAAAGAATTTTAAATTCTCTTTTCAGGCTAATCGATCGTTATCGAGAAGAACTGTTCCGGAAAGATTAGCTATAAAGATGCATTTTTTTTTTAAATTACAAGCATGAGCGTTATTCTTTCATCTCGATAATTAATAGTCGCTACATACAAGGGGGGATTTATTTGTACGCGAGGCGAACGGGTAGCGAGAAACGGCCTCGTTCACACGGAGAACTGCTTAGCGCACAAATCTTTTTGATAAACCGACAAGTGGCGGATCATGTTCATGCGTGCTCAGACGTGAAGCTGCCTTCCCGCGTTAAGCCGCGCATACCAAAATGACTAGAGCGTTTCTGCGCGCGAACCGCTCGTGTGTGCGCGAAAATATCCGATTCAGCACATGAATACGTACGTCAAAGAGATGAGGAGAGAGAGCCAAGAAATATAAGATATTTCTTACTTTAACGAAAAAAGTACACCGGTACTTGAGCGGCCACGCGTGAATCTAGCATAAATTGAATTGTAAGTTAATTTTCAATTGATCGATCGAGAGAATATTATCCGCTGTGATTCTAAAGGATAGAGACGGATGGCAAACGCGCGCTCCTAATCTTTTAAATAGACATCGCGAAAGAAACTTCTAAGAATTAAGTTTATTTTAATGACATTATTTTTTTTTTTTCTAGGTAGAGAACCATGGATTTTGATGATACAACGGACAAAAGAGAGGAGGACTAATTTCGTTGTGACTTGAAATTTTCTGACATGCCACAGTGAACAAGCGGTATGTCAGACTTATTATTATAGCGCCGAGAGCCACATCTTCTAAGGCGTGGTCCTGTATAGTTGCATTCGTAATCTGATAAAGATTCCCGAAGCACGCTTCCGGGCCTAATGAATCCATGTTATATGTTAATAAGCAACTGGCTTTAGACGTCAAAGGGTTTAGAGGCAATTAAATTGATTTATATATACACAGCTTATAATTTCCTGTCGCATTTTGTTCAACACCCCTAAGCATCATCACGAAACTCCTTGTTGCTTTCCTTTATTTCGCGTTCCATTTCGAACGCGAATGCACTCCCGACATTCATCCCGTCGTAGACTTTCGAATCAACTCGCGTTGCAATTGGAATTATATTCTCGGCGCACGGAGCAACATCGGCGATTTGTCGCAGGTGCGCCGCGCGTTTCGACGCACACGTGGCGTCTCTCTTAATTTAAGCTCGCGGCGACTAAAAAAAGATCGCGGGCGTGACACGCTTATAAATAAAGCGGGGAAATTCTATGAAAAAAATAAAACGGTCATCGCGGAGAGATCGATATGAAACATTTTGATATAAACGGGAATTGCAACGTTGAAAATTAATACCTTTACCTTACTTTAACAAATTTTAATATGATCCTTGATAAAGCGCGGATTCTAATTCCATTAGAAATTTGTGGACTGTCGAAAAGTAGGGAAAAATCGAAAGAGAAGCTCACTCAATTCTCTTCTCCACTTGGCGCGCCGGTACTTTAATTATCAAACGCATCTACGCGCCGCGTAATTTCATTCGATATCAGCGAATCGTATTATTATACCATTCGCTCTGTACCGGTATCCTCGACTGCCCGCCCGCCTAGCGAATGTAATTTGCCCGAGAGCGTCCCAAAGTCGTAATGTCATTAGCCACGGTACGGCTCTTTTCTGGCATTCGTGGCCCACGGGCGTTCAAATATTTGAATCTTGTACATGCATATGTGCGCGTGCACCCGCGCTTCCAAAAGGTTTAAAGGGGGAGATGTTTCGCTCTGCAATATTCCAACGACCGCTTGGTTACATCGTATGTACATACACATCTCCGATAACGCTATTTAGGCGGCGCGAAAGACACGTGAACGCGCGGCGAGCTCGTGCGATTTCTCTCTCTCTCTCTCCCTCTCCCTCTCTCTTTTTAAAGAGGCAATTCGCTCCCGACGGCGAAGCTCTAACTTATGTCACCGAATTGCGTTTAAGCGCGTGACCTGGAACGGTAATGCGAGAACCGGGAGGAAATCTCGAACACTTTTTCTCAGCCGCGCACGAAAGCGATTTCGGCGGGGATGCTGTTAATATTTTTCTCTCGCCGAGAGTATATATTTATACTTTCTTTTTCTTCCTCTCTCTTTCTCGGTGCAGTTTCGGGGGAGGGGGGACAGTCGTCGCTATCGTTATCACAACTGCCTGCGCGCTCGGTGGACCGCCGTGATGAAGGTGTTCCCGACGCACGTACGCACTGTATTTAAGGGTTGGCGATGCCTGTTCCAGATATCTCGATTTACGACATCACAAGTGAGAAACTACAAGGAATACACAATCAATTGTTGTACCTGGTATCCGTTCTTACGTAACTTTATCGTTACAGTTCTCTTTTACAAAGCAGATTTTTAAAATACGTGCCGTCATATTACATTATATCTATTAAAGCATAAAATAATTCGCGGTATAGATTATTATATATTACACACTATCCACTTAAATTAATAATATATATAACATATTATAAACATTTTACCTTCCACTTTCGCTGCCTCAGTCGTCATAATCCAAATTGCATGACACATGCGTCACCGTTCCTGTTTTTCCGCACGATAGAAATTACGCGGTGAATCATTCCGCGTCGCGTATCTTTTCGCGTTCCCTTCCCTTTTTTTCTCTTCCCCTCGAGTCGCCGTCGTCGTTACACAACATCCGACCGCAATCGCAAATCTGAGAAATAATCAAAAGGCGCGGCGAAGCACGTTTTTCACCGGGACACACAATGAAATCGCGCTGCGCGACGAAAGAATTGCTCTCCTTCCCTTCATATATTTATACTTTCTTTTTCTTCCTCTCTCTTTCTCGGTGCAGTTTCGGGGGAGGGGGGACAGTCGTCGCTATCGTTATCACAACTGCCTGCGCGCTCGGTGGACCGCCGTGATGAAGGTGTTCCCGACGCACGTACGCACTGTATTTAAGGGTTGGCGATGCCTGTTCCAGATATCTCGATTTACGACATCACAAGTGAGAAACTACAAGGAATACACGATCAATTGTTGTACCTGGTATCCGTTCTTACGTAACTTTATCGTTACAGTTCTCTTTTACAAAGCAGATTTTTAAAATACGTGCCGTCATATTACATTATATCTATTAAAGCATAAAATAATTCGCGGTATAGATTATTATATATTACACACTATCCACTTAAATTAATAATATATATAACATATTATAAACATTTTACCTTCCACTTTCGCTGCCTCAGTCGTCATAATCCAAATTGCATGACACATGCGTCACCGTTCCTGTTTTTCCGCACGATAGAAATTACGCGGTGAATCATTCCGCGTCGCGTATCTTTTCGCGTTCCCTTCCCTTTTTTTCTCTTCCCCTCGAGTCGCCGTCGTCGTTACACAACATCCGACCGCAATCGCAAATCTGAGAAATAATCAAAAGGCGCGGCGAAGCACGTTTTTCACCGGGACACACAATGAAATCGCGCTGCGCGACGAAAGAATTGCTCTCCTTCCCTTCTCTCTTTTTTCTTCGGGAAATATAAACTAAAGTTACACACACGGGCGATCTCGTTAGTCGCGGTACCAGCAGCGCACGGAGGCCAATGACCATATGACCAATGTAGGGAATATCCGAGAGAGATGTGAAACGTACACTTTTTTCCCCCTAATATCGCGCGTCGGCATATACATATGTACGCTCTAATTGAATTTCAAATCTGCTCTACATACATGCGTAATGTAGATTCGACAATCGTCGATATGCTATCGATCGGTAAGCGGACTGTATAAATTTGCGAGACGCATTACTTCTTTATGTCAATAAAAGAATCCTTCGCTAATATCTCCAATATTGTGAATAATATTGGGACCAAATATCGGAAGCAGAAGAATTTTCCATGTTAATATTAATTATAAATATCCAATGTGCCATGTCGCGTTATTAACGTCAGACAACGTAATGTTTGTAATTTTACAATCGGAATCGGGAATTTTGTAGGATCGGTTGAAAACGCGATGACTCTTTTTTTTTTTTTTTATAAAACAAACGTGTTTATTTTCATGGTTCTTTGCTGAAATGGAAAGTTGCAATTAATTTAATACGTATTTAACAGGCTGTGAATATATAATGCGTGTGATTCCGATGAGCGTATTTACAACAATATAATATTAATTAGAATTATACACTCCTAAACGCGCGATTATAGCTCAGACGTATCCACGACCAGTAACGTACGCAGCGCTGGTCTTTGGGATGTGTTTGTGTGTGTGTGTAGGTGTATGTATGTGTGTGTATGTGTGTGCTCGGAAATGTGCATGAATATTTACAAAATTAGATACAATATTTACAGAGAGTTCACTTACTGACTAATAAGCGTTATGCGACCGTTACTTTATCAAGACAGTCGTGAATCTTTAGGAACAAACTCTCACGAGGCGTCTGCTTGTTTCCTTTCTGTCATTTAACACTTGACGATTCGCTGTCAATCCCGTGACGGGCGATCGACGAGCGAACGACAAGAGTGGCATAGGATGATGCACCTCGGGCCGGTTCCAAAGAAGTGTCAGTGTGCGCGAGGAACTTTATCGTAAAATTTTGAGTCCTATAATACGAGAGAAAATATATTTTCGTACACGTGCGCTATCTTCACATTTTAACTGTTGGAAATTATTACTCGACAATGTTTCACGTACGTTTTGCGGCTCGCAATCTCTACCATATAAACATGATTCCTTCGATATTTCGATGCCCATTTAAAAATCAAATGGATGTGAACTGAAAAGCGACGAAAAATACAATATTCGTATATATTGTGCACGTATGTATGTATTGCTTCGCTTCTCTCGCGCGTAATGTTATTCGAGCATTGACAAAAAAAAAAAAAAAGATATAAATATTCGCAATTAAGTTGTCAAACGCATATAATACCGTTATATCGCTAATAAAATAACAATATAAAGTATCACGTGTAGGATATAAAATAAATGCGTCCATCCAAGCGTATTTGAAATAAATATTTAGATAAAGAGAACACTTTTTACTCTTTTTTATCCTTTGTAATACCGTTCTGATATTGTTGTTGCAATCGTTTCGCGTATGCTGTTTGTTATGAAAAAGATGCTTTAGGAACAAAAAGAAAATAATTAATATTCGCAAAATGATCGCGTTGTGCGTCAGCTGCCGGATACATTCACTCATCATCATTATCATCGTTATTCACAGGTGTATATGTAATTCATCGTATTTGTGCAAGCCACAACAAATAATCCTATTGGTGAATTTGCGGACAGTTATGCCAATTAATGCAAATCGAAACAGCACGATTCTAAACGAAAGAACTCGCTTGCGAAAGGGATTGAATGGCAAAATGACTTTAAATTAGATATCCATCGATCGCGATGAAACAAAATTCGCTCGATCGCGACCCGCTTTCGGGTCTCGACGATTTATCATGATTTGACGAAATAAATTAATCAACGAAGGGACGCGCGCAGGAGATTCGCGCGAAAATTTATTAGAATGATAGAGATATGTATGTACAAAAGTGAACTAATAGTCGTACCTTAACTATACGTGCGAGACTATAAGGCTCGCTCGTTATAAGTAAAAATAAAAACGCAGAAATGTAGAATCTAGATTCTCATCGATATCGCGTCATTATTTATAAGACTTAAACGAGAGGAAAGCAAACCGCGTCGTCGAAACTCGCGAGTTCTGCGAGCAAGAAGTTCGAAACGTGGTAAGTATTTGGTCGTGACTTGGAAGAACGTTGCGCAACGATATGAAAAAGTAGATACCGCGAGAATGGAATGAAGAGCGACTATCGCGTCTCGTCTCGTTTTTCGAAAAGGAAAGGTCACAAGCCGTTAAATCTACATCGTCGTTACATTGATAATAAGCACAAGGCATCGAATCAATTTCGTTTACGTATATAATACTAGGCGCGCGTATCGCGCGCGTTCGGATCACCCGTTTGATCCCGGGAAATGCCGTCGTCAAACGGCAGCGTCGAGCGATTCACATTTCGATCGATTCGATCGAGATGCAGAAGCGTCTCCTCAGCGTTAGCTGAGCGACGACCGAGTAATACCGGGAAATACGCTATACAAGTTCGGCCGTACATCCTGACGAGCTGAGAAATTTTTTACATTCCGATTTCCTCGCGAGAACGAGAGAACTCGTCGCGACACGGCCGGGCGATCGCATCTCAGCGGGTACCGGAAACGAGACGACCGGAAAAGTGGAAGATAGAGGGGAAGAGAGCGAGATTTGCGGTCTATCTCCTGCCGGATCGGAGCACGATCGCCGCCCTTCTGCGCTAGACGAAGTAAGTACGCGGATTGCCTGGATGCGCCGGGGCGAGGGCCTCCCCGGGAGGCGCGGTGGGCACCACCGGCGGTTCCGGTATCGTGCTGTATAGATGACTGCCCCTGGAGAAGAGACTGGCCGGCCGGCCGTTACCGGCGTGAAGCGTACTGTAACCGTGCTGATGATGCGGATGGTGCTGATGGTGCTGATGCTCCGCGCCGCTGTCCTCGTCCTCGGTGCGGCTGGACGCCGAGCTGACGTAGGTGGACTGCGTGGGCGTCGGCGTGGGCGCGTGATGCACCGGCGCGACCAGGACGCCATTGGGCTTGGTCCACACGTCCACGGCGACGGACGGCGCCGCGGTGTATCGTGTCGGCGTGCGATTGCGGTCGTTGACCTTCTTGCTGTCGCGCTGCCGCTTGTCGACCGAGTCCGGCATGGCGAATCTAAGCTTCTCCCAGAACCTCTTTTCGCCCCAGACCACCACCGTGCACGTCTGCAGCAGCAGCTGCAACTCCGGGTCCCGGGTAGGCGTCTCGGTGGCCAACAGGATCAACACTCGGCGCTTCCGCGACGCCGGCCTGATGTTCTCCAGCGCGGTTCTCAAAGCGGCGCGAAACTCGACGTGCTGCCACTCGTTCGCCAGGAATACCGGCGAGAAGATGATGACGATGCGCCTGGCGGCGGCCGCGGCTGGCGGCAGCGCCTCCTGCGGTCTGGCCGGCGGCAGGTCACGCCAGTGTAAGCAAAGCGCCAGGCCGGCCTGCTCCAGCTCGGCCGCGAGGAATCTGGAGACAAAGTCCTCGTCGCGTTCGCTGTAGACGATGTAGCCATCGTATAGTCGGTCCCTCTCTTCGTCGGGCGGCGTCGCCATTTTGCCGAGCCGTAGACCGTAACGCGCGTGGGCCCAGAGCCGTACATCCTGACGAAAGACGAAGGCCAAGGCGACGAACAGACAAATGGCGATTACGGCTACCAGCGCACCAGCGAGCAATGGCACAAAGTTACTGCCTAACAGCGGGATCTCCTGGATACCGCGACTCACAGCCTCCGTGGACGGGTCGCCGCATCGCACCATAGCCTGGGCGAGGGTCTCGACGCCGTCGCGGCAGTACATCTTGTCCGGATCGCCGCGATGCTCCGCGAGCCAGGCGCGTAATCGAGCGGCATTCCCGCACTCGCAACTCCAGGCGTTACCCTCGAGCGCGACTCTCGTACCGCCGCCGATGCTCGGCAAGGCCTCCCACGGCCGAAAATCGACGATGCGGTTGCTGTCGAGTCGCAACGTCTTGAGATTATGCATCTTCTTAAAGGTCGTGTTACCCACCGTAGCGATGGCGTTGTGATCTAGATACAGTTCCGACATGTGATCGAGCTGATCGAACTCGAAGCCCCGCAGTTCCCGTAGCGCGTTGTCCTCGAGATGGAGGACGCGCAGCGCCTCGACGCCGTTGAACGTACGATTGTGTATCGCGGCGATACCGCTGTTGTTGAGATACAGTACCTCCAAACGACGTTTGCCGATGAAAACATGGCTGCCGAGATCGCCGAGCTCGTTACCGTCCAGGTAGATCTCCGTCGCGTCCATGGGCAATCGCTCGGGCACGCGCTTGTATCCGGCGTTGGAGCAATCGACGACGTTGCTGGACCAGCTGTGATCGTGATAGCACGAACAATTATCCGGACAGGTCATCTCGCAATCGCACGCGTCGAAGTCGCAGCAATGACAGAGGGCGAAGCAATGTGCGTCGTATCGGCAGAGAAAGTCTTTGGACTTCAGGGAGAGCAACGGACGTCGCGGCGTGGCGCGTGCGTGCACCATGTCGCACGTGACAGCGTCGAGATCCATGACGCGAGGATGCTGCCGCGGCCGGGCCATCTCGTTGATCCGCGGCAACCATTCCATGGTGCAATCGCAGAGGATGGGGTTATTACCGATGTAAAACGCAGGAAGCTTTCGGTCGTCCGGCACTGTTTGCAGAGTCAGGGCGCCGATCTCCAGATTCCTGATTTCGTTGCCATAAAGCACCACCTTGTCGAGATTTGATTTCTGTTGAAACGTACCAGCCGCGACGCTTCGTATTCGATTGTTGTTCAGAAACAGCGTTTCCACGCCGTCCGGCACGTTTGCCTCCGTGATGGAGGTGATGAGATTGTAACTGGCGTCCAGCATTTTTATTCGCAACGTGTTGCGCAGCACGTAGTAATCGCCTAGCTCGCTTATCTGATTGGCGTGTATGTCCAGCCATTCTATGCTGGTCGGTAGATGACTGTAGTCGAACCACAGCAACTTATTATCTGACACGTTCAGCCAGACAAGAGTCGAGAGACTCGTGAAGGCGCCGCGAATCTCCGTCAATTTATTTCCGTCCAATCTTATGGCGCGCAACACCGAATTAGCGGAAAAGGCGCTCTGTTCTACGTGACGAATGATATTGTTTGCCAAATTGAGTACCTGCAACGCCGGCAAGGACGCGAACGCCTCGCGCGATACATTCTCCAGCTTGTTGTCTACCAATCGCAATCCGTAGAGCTCGTTCAAGCCGGCGAACGAGTCGTTGTCGATCCTCGATATGCGATTGTTGCCAAGATCGAGGGTCTTGAGCGATCTCAACACACGGACCGCGTAGGGTACCTCCGCCAATGCGTTCCCGCTCAGAGAAAGATCCTGAAGATCCGTGAGATTGGCGAACACATGTCTGTGCAGGCTGCGCAGCCTGTTGCTGTCTAGGAAGAGCTGCTGAAGCGCGCCGGGGCCGATCGTGTACGCCGGTTCGAATCTGACGATCTTGTTGTGAGACAACGTCAGCGTATGCAAATTGACGAGCGAGGCGAAACAGCCGTCGAGCAGCGTGTCGATATTGTTATGCTCGAGCTTCAGGATCTGCAGATTTGTCAAATGCTTGAAGACGTACGCGTCGATCCTCGTGAGGGCGTTGAACGATAGATCGAGATTAACGAGACGAATCAGTTGCGAGAAGGTTCCCCGTTTCACCCAGTGGCTCGTCAGCTCGTTACCGCTGAGATCCAAATCGTGGAGTTGCTCGAGACTGTCTAACAATTCGGGCGCTAATACCGCGAGGGAATTGTTGCTGAGTATCAGCTCTCGCAGTTCCTTCGTCTCGGCGAACAATTCGGGTGGCAATGCGACGAGTCGGTTGCTGGACATGTTGAGGACACGCAGGGACTCGAGACCGGCCAGAGCGTGATCGCCCACGGCGGCGATCGCGTTCTCCTGTACCTTCAGCACGCTCAAACTATGCAGGCTGCTGAGAGCGCCGTCGAGCAAGGCACTGAGGTCGTTATTACTGATATCGAGGACCTCGAGTAGGATCGCGCACGACTTGGTTAGATCGGAGAAATTGAGAGACCTGATGTCCTGTAACTTGTTGCGCGTTAGATTCAGCCACGCGAGACTCTGTTGAACCGGGCAGAGCAGCTCCGACGGCAGCGTCCACAGATTGTTGTCGGCGAGATCGAGATGCTGCAGGCTTGTCAGGCCGCGGAGCGCGTCGCGATTCAGATCCAGGGTCATAGTCGACAAATCGCCGTTGCGCGTCCGCAGAGATAAACCTCGGAGATTGTGCACCGACGCGAACACGCCGCCCGGCAGATACCGGATCTTGCAAGAATCGACGCGCAGCTTGGCGAGACGCGGCAACGACGGCAGGAAGCCGTCGAGCTGGCCCTCGTAGAGCGTCTCGTCGCTGCATTCCAATCCCAGGGACGTCACCGAGTCCGTTTGTATCGTCGAGAGATTGCCGATGAGACCGGGCACGTCCGCGATCGTTCTCACTCCGCAGACGAGCTCCTGCTCCCCGTCTTCGCCGTCGTCCTTTCTCCACTCGCAACCGCTCGGCGCCTCGAGACTCGTGATGCTACGCCCGTGCACCGTATCCAGCAACGTGCAAAGGACGACGACGACGATCGTCGACCAAACGATCGCCGGTCGCGACGCCACGACGCGACGGCTATCCATCCCGGAACGACCGGTCCGTCTCGCTGATCGCGCACCTGTGGCCGGAAGATAGTCGCGCGGGTGCTCGAGTATAGACGCTCGCACCGTCACGCACTCATAGTCACCAACACTTGGTGCGTTTTAACCGCCCTTTTTCCACTCTCCGCACGTTGAAACAACGCGACAATCGCGAATAAAAAATGAATAAGAGAAGAAAACCAAGTGGATTCTCTTCCTCGCCGTCGGCGAAACACACCGCTCACACCGTTGACACCGACGACGCGACGATCCACGATCTCGTCGTCCTCTCGCGTGAATCGACCGGGCACCGATCGCTCATTCCTCGACGCGATGAACGAACGAACGAACGAACGTGACGGATTATCCTTGTACCGACTTGGTGCGATTACGTGCGACGATCCGGGCGACGACGACGACGACGACGGCGACGACTACTACTGCTACAGTCCGGAGAGAACGACATTCCACCGCGGCGGTCGGAGTGCAACTGAGTTGGAGCCGTTCTATCGACGATCACGGAGTACCCCGCATAACTAGCGGCATGCGGTTCCCTTCCACCGACGCGTTACCACCACCATCCGCATGCGTGCCCCTCCACGCTTCTCTTCAATCGGCACCGAGACACAGTGACGCGCGGCGCTCCTCTCGGCGAACGTTGGATGCCACAGGCGGCTGCCTGCCTGCCTGCCTCACCCGAAGATGCAACAAACCAGCTGACTGACAACGCTACTTACTAGGTAAACACTAAACTAGTTCCTAGACGCACACCGGCACGCATCTATCAAGCGGCTCCTCTCTCTCTCTTTCTTTCTCTCTCTCTTTTCTTCTCTCATCTTTTCTCTCCCCCCCCCCCTCCTCTGAACGGGTATTTTCTTCTCCCCGGGCGAGGATCTTTCGAACCCTCAGGCCGTGCACTGTCCTCGTCCTTTCTATCTAATAGGAGAGCAGTCCCACGGCAACTGTAGGCGAACTTTTTACAGAATAAACACTCGCTTTTCCCGCGAGTGATGATTCGTTATTTTTTCTTTTTTTTTTTTTTTTTTTTTTTTTTTTTTTTTTTTTTTTTGCCGTGATTTCGTGGTTTGAATCTTCAGCTGGTTCGCTTTCGCGAGAGCGCTCCCGGGAGCATTCAAGACCGCCGCGACGTTGCATGATCGAGAAGGATTTGTTGCATCCTTGTTGCGAACGTGAGCGGGTTACCCGCGAGAAAGTTTCGCAATAGATACGAATATTTGGATAGGGATATTTTCCAAGTTCGAGTTTAGACGCTGCGCGTGAGCACGTTTGCTACGCACACGCAACGACACCGGTCGTGAATATACATACATTGCTCGCGAGGATCGATAATATCGGCGACTGAAACCGCGTCAATATCAAACTTGCTTTATAAATTTCTAATTTTAATTAGTATATTCGCGAGACGGATGAATCCAATGGATCGATACCAACCAACGAGTTTTAGAACTAACATTTCAGAATTACTACATTTTTCCTCGCTTAAAATTTATTCGAAGCTATTTTAAAAATAATAGTCTTGCAACTTTACGTAGTATTTGAAAAAAAAAAAAGGAAAAGAAAAGCAGTATATACGCATTTTGTATTTGTATACGGAAACACGTCTCTTACCAAAGGGTAGCTACCCCAAAAAGTGAATAAGACTTTTGCCGCCATCTGCGTTTTAGCTAGTGAACTGAAACAAGGCGGCTTTTAGATAATGAAAGTACTTTTATCTACATTTTACACATGCCCTTTTGATGTTTTAAAGACTAAATGTTATAAAATGTGTGTGTGTGTGTGTGTGAGAGAGAGAGAGAGAGAGAGAGAGACCAGAAAGAGAGAGATTTTCTATAATTCCTAGAATTTTACAATTTTAATTTCTCAAATTTTTGATCTCGATATCAAATCCGTTGTGTTAATATTATATCTTGCATTTTTAAATAAATTTAATATATTTGAACTTTTAAATATTTACGACCGAGAAAGCAGTAAAACTACAAGTGGGTATATTTTTTCTAACAATATATATAACAACTGTGGGGGAAGCAATTAATATAAATATTAATATCCGGGTGTGGAGATTGGACTAATTAAGAGCCAAGCGCGGTAAACAATGCGCGAAGTATTATAATTGTTGAAGAATATTTAGACGTTTCGGTCCTGGATTCAGACCATCATTCTCCAACAATTATAATACTTGGCGCATTGTTTACTGCACTTGGCTCTTAATTAGCCCAATCTCCACTCCAGGATATTCAATATCAGAGCCTTTTACTTCAATAAATATTAATCCTTCAAATAACATATTTTCCTCCTCATAAAAGAAAACTATTAATTTATACATCTCAATAACAATACTTTATCTGGATTAGAAATCGGTGTGCTTGGAGATTAAAAAGAAATCGTTAATTATAGGATTAATATTCACGTGCGAGCGTGATATTAAATGCATATTCCTGAACGTCTAACTTTTCCTTGAACTTATATCCTGAGCGACGGCTCTTCATCTGTCGCGGTGTAATAGTGTACGAGATGATGAATCACGCGAGTATGCTAGATGTGAACGTACGGGATTATAAATTCGAAGTTGTACACCGTGCGCGCGCGTACTCGCGATGACGGATGGAGGCATTCATGGATTTAAACATACGGGGTTTCCACACTTCATTATGTATTTACGGCTTGTCAGCGTGATATCATTCCCTCGTCACTCCCGCCGAGAGGACTGAAACCGCGCGTCGCAATTGGAATATTTTATCAGTGTGACTAACGGTTTTTTTTTTTTTTTTTTTCTCAAGTCTCGTATCGTTCAACTACGTGCGTATTTTCATTTAGCGTGATTCAGGTATGAGCGGTTTCTTTGAATCACACTCAAATCTTTATATCGATTTCTATGTGGAACATAATTTGCGAGATTGGAATTTTTTTTTTTTTTGCTCTTTCTCTAAATGAAGTAGCAATATCCGTATACATTAAAAGCGTATTAAACGCGATATCTAAATTAATAGAAGTAACATGTAGTAATGGAAGAAAAAATTCATAGTCGTGTAAATGAGTATCTCTTTTTCTCTCTTCCGTTTTCTCTTTTCATAGAAATATCGGAGAAATAATTTAGGCGATAGATGACAAAGTCTTTGAGTTATTCGCGAGAGAATGAAAGATCTAAATAACCGTGCAGGCGTTGCAGGTAGAATTCGGGAGGGAAGTCTTTTTCTTCTCGTTTCAGCAACGTGCGTATTACTGTTGAAATTTATGCTCGCGTTAGAATTCTTCATGTGCACGAGGAGCGGCCGGATCTTTGAATGAGCTGTTCTCTTATTTGAATAAGCATTTTTTTTTCCTTTCGCGAGCGGGTATGCGCGAGAATCTATTTCACAGGAATGTGGCATCGCTATTGAATGACCGGATAGTCGATTTTCGGCGAAAAATCCGCGTTCAGGAGCGTCGGTGGTGAACACTGTGGATTGTGTATTAAAATACATAAATTATAACTTTTTATCGCACTCTCTCGCAGAGATAAAAAAATATATTATACAGTAATACAATGTAGGTCAGCGTAAGCGAATTAACTTTGCGCGAATACAAGTTTCGTGTGCGTGCGTAATTTATTTAATACATGTAGGAAATTGAGGTTGAACGAAGAATTTTTCCTCTTTGAAAGTATTTTTCTTTGATCGTCCGACTGGGGGTTTGCAAAACGGACGTCTAAACACAGCTAGATACGGTCTATTCACGAAATCTCCATTTTCCGCAAAATGTTTTTTACAAAGGCTTTTCCGAAAACACTCTCTTGCAAGTCAGCCGCTAGAAAGAGCGGGAGAGAAGAAAGTAACGGCGGGTAATACATCGACGACGAGAATCTCCCTTCAGACGCGTACACGAGAATAACTTGGGAAGAGAAGCGGATGTTCCTCGTAAAACCGATAATCGAATCCGCGAGATCGAGAATGTACCCTTCAGAGGTGCAAAGAGCGCTTAGGACGACATCGCTCGTAAAAATTTCCGTTTTGGGTGGCATCGATCCACTCGGACGTCGCGTCGCCCGCACTTTCACTCGAGGAGGTCAGCCGGGGTTAACGACGAAAAGTGTATCGCGTCACGAAACGCCGCCGGGCATTAGCATATATACTCGAAGGGCGCGCCGGGCGTCCTAGAAGGCCAGCGCTCTGACGAACGGGCACGACCGGACCGGACGTACGTACAAAACGGACGGACGGAGAGGCGAGCGGAGAGGTGCCTCTCCTCGAAGAAGTTGACGTTTCTCGTGCATGCATCGTAGGCCGGCTATATTCCGCAGGCGGAGCTTTTGCGCTGGAAAGACCGCCTGCAGACCGCCCCTGTGTGCGTTTCGTTTCATCATCAACGTGGCGTGCACAGGAGAGTCTGCGAATAAACGCGTTCCTGTGTATGGCGGTGTTTGACAGTTATGCCGGCCGTAGACCGCGACGTAACATCCGCTCGGCATCCGGAAAACGTCCATCTCTCGACGTCGATTTTCCGGATGGAACCTAGACGGTGGGTCTATCGTCCGTGCGAGAGATTATTTCTACTTGCAAGACGTTGAAATTAATATCACGAGAAAATACGCGATTAATAACGATAAAGATCTCGCACGTTCGAGTTGCGATTGGCGCTACTCCAAGAATACCAATGCTCCGAGACATTGGGATATCTGCGAAAAGAGAGCGGTTGAAAATATCGCACAGTTTAGGAAGTATATACGGTAGCCAGATTGTCGAGCGAGAGAGTGTCCCGAAGGTATAATTTTACAGAAAGGACGGAAGATCGTTTAATTTCGTTAATTAATTCTCATTAATCTTTTTTAATATTTTGATATCCTCCGGTTACGTTAATTTTATTTCGGAGACATTGATTCTTGTCCGCTCTTTTAATTCGATTAATTATCGAAACGAAGTATCATTATTATGGTTTTTTTTTGCGTTTTATGTACATACTTGAATTATTCACATTAAGTTATTTGCATAAATTATTCGCGCGTTGACACGCACAAAGAGACGTAAATTTTAGTTTCAAGTAACGTTTATGAAACCAATTTATGTGTTTAATTATTATTATATATGAAAAGATGCATGAGAGCAGAGAGATAAATTATTATTACTAATTGTATTCTTGATTTATGAACTCCATAATCAATCAATCAGTCATGTCACATGAAAATCAATGTAAATGCACCTTGCATGATGTATGAAATATTTTTTGCATAACAAGTCGCTCGAATCATTTTCCAGACTCGGTTCTCATTTCGTTGCATAATCCATCGTTCTAGACATTATCTCGATGAAACTCTCGTGTCTGCTCTCTTTCTCTCTCTCTCTCTCTCTTTCTCTCCTTTTCTCTTCTCCCTTGTGTTTTCTCCTTCGGTCTTATTATGACACTCGGATCACAATGTAATCTTACGCAATGCGAAATATCGGCAACCGAG